TCCGGGTTGCCACCCTAGCGCGCCACCCGCCAAGCCAACCTGCTTCGACACACCGGCCGGCGCTTGCAGCCCTTCCTGAGTTTCCCGCCAAAATAGCCGTCAGACTCAAAGGCACGGACGGAACAGACGCGCGAACACACACACACACACATGCACACGGACGGACGGACACGCAGGTTTTTCGTGGGAGAGAACTAGTGCCCGGCGGCCCCCTCCCTGTGGACGTGGGAGTGCTGGCATGCCGGCGAAGGGAGCTTCCCGTGCCCGGCGAGGTGGCCTCTCTCACCCCGGTGATGACCGCAGCGTCTCCCGCCGAGAGCAGGAGGAAGAGGAGGGGAGCGCAGCGCAGGCTCCGCATGGCTCCCGCTTTCGGTCCCCGGGGCTCCCTCTGCGGCTTGCCGGGGCGGTAAGCCAGCCTCAAGTCCGGGGGGTCTCCCTCAGGGCAGTCGCCGCCGCCGCCGCCGCCACCGTGAGGAGGAGCAGCAGAAGTAGAGCTGAGGCCGCTCCCGCCGTTATAAAGCCCAGACCTGCCATTCAGAGGCCGGATGAGTCACCCAGCCAGCTACCTCGGCAACGCGGCCGTCGGGGGGTGAAGGGACCGAAGACACGCTCGGGGGAGGCCCGGGGGAGGCATCGACACGCCCACCGCCTCGAACCGGGAAGGCCATTCATTGCCGGTGGACGTCCAGCGGCGGCCCCGCACTCCACTCGCCTTGCACGACGGCGGACAGACACGAACGCTTGCCTTGGTTTTTCTTGTTGGGAGAAGAACATGTGAACGTATAAAAGGAGAAGGAGAAGGGACTCCAAAAAATAAACAAAATAACATTTCCCTTCAGAGAGTCGTCCGGGAATGAAAGTCTCGCCATCTTCCATCTTCCACTGTGGAAAGATACGGGCAAAGAACGCAAGCATTTCCAGACCTTGACACATCACGATACCTGAAGAAGACGATCGAAACACCGTTCAGAATAGTCACGTTGAAATACTGAAGAAATCATCACCCACAACATCATCTTAGCACTGCACAGCTGGAACAGGCCCTTAACTCTTTGCCTGCGGCCCCTGTCAAGGAGGCAGAGTGGGGAATTTGACTGCTAACTCGAAGCACTGAGCTGTCCAAGATAAGGACAATGTACTTACATAGGTATACTCACAGAGTCAGGTGGAGGAGAAAGATACTGAAAAATAACCTTATGCAGCAGTAATATCTTGTCTGCAGATCCAAATCCCCTCCAATCCCCACAGTTGCTGGGGTGGGGGAGATAGAGAAAGCATGCTAGTGTTGAAAGACCACCCTTTCCTTAAAGAAATGAAACGTTAAAAAGGAATCCCACCTTGAAGTTCTGAAGACTTATCACAAAAGATGTAAACTAATTTTCCTGCTCTGGAAGGTGAAAGAACCTCTGGCACAATTAGCCCATCTGTTCCACATTATCTTGGAAGTCTAATGATTTTAGACTTCATACCCTGTGTGTAACTAATGCCAATTTATATTTTCTTTCTTTGATGTTGAACTTTTAGTGGACTGTAACTAACAGGCACAATATAGTCAATGCTTAATGCTTTTCATTATCATTGATTAAAAAAAGAATTAAACACATCCTTAACTCTGTCACCTAAATCAAAAGCTACTAAAAAGTACTGTACTTAGGTCTGACTAGATTGTGGCCCAGAAAAATAACTTCAAGATAATAGCAAAACATACTGTTTTCTGTGGATTTTTATCAACCCAAAAGACTAGAACTAAACTCAAGGAAGGTTGACATATCAAATCACATATCGCATCAAAGAAAAAAAGCTTTAAAATATATGGAACAAGTGCTCCACTTTGTTGCTTTTTAATATCAACTGTTTAAGCCGTTCAGACAGAAAGACAGACTTTTATAAAGGGACACTATGCAGTTCCCATTCAAGTATCTTTGCACTTCCTCTAACTGAATTTCTTCAGCTACAGCCAAGAGGGAGCATGGCAGTTAATGCTGATCTAGAATTCGGCCTTCAAAATGAAAATGGCCATTAGTGGTTTATATCCATATTTCAGTAAAGATTTAATCCCCCGGGAAAATTGGTGCAAAAGGCCTGCTATATGTCTCCAGCATTTCGTTCCTGGCAACTTGAAGCAGAACTGAACTTTGTTTGTACAGTATATTGCTAATCCCTCATGACACGGCTTGCTTGAAAGTGGCCGTTTCGGGGTTGTTGTTTCTTCTTTCCCTTCTCTTGCAAACATATAAATGTTTGTTTGGACTCCTAAGTTATAAACGGAGGGACGTGGTGGCGCTGCGTGCTAAACTGCAGAAGCCTGTGCTGCAGGATCAGAAGACCAAGCAGTCGTAAGATCGAATCCACGCGACGGAGTGGGCTCCCATTGCTTTGTCCCCGCTCCCACCAACCTAGCCGTTCGAAAGCATGCAAATGCGAGTAGATAAATAGGGACCACCTCGGTGGGAAGGTAACAGAGTTCCGTGTCTAAGTCGCACTGGCCATGTCAACACGGAAGATTGTCTTGGGACAAAACGCTGGCTCTATGGCTTGGAAACGGGGATGAGCACCGCCCCCTAGAGTTGAACACAACTGGACAAAAATTGTCAAGGGGAACCTTTACCTTTACCTAAATTATAAATGAGTTGCCAGCGTGATGCAGCATACAGAGTGATAGATTAGGATTCAGGACACTTTGGTTCTAACAAGAGATGGGCTTTGGTAGTTTGCGCCAATTCGTTTATTGGCTTAACGTTATCTTTATTAAGCACTTCAAAGTCCTACCTTCTCTGACAGTTCCCCACTCAGAGGCAGCTGCCTGGCTTCCCTGCCCCGCCTCCTCTGGGTGCTGCCTCTTGAGTGGGCAGCCAAGGGAGGAGGCTGGTTTTGAAGCACCAAACATCTGTTTGGGTGACAAACATACTGTGCGAACCACAGTATCTATAGTTCTCTTTAGCTATTGAAACTCATTGGGGGGGGGGGTTGTACTGGAAAACTGCTCTTTAAATGTTCCAAATGGTGTGAAACGGAGATGTGGTTTTGCTCCAGCTTGTTTCAGTCTTATCTTTTCTGTGATGCTGTGGGATGCCTACAGGGAGGAAAACTTGGGGATTGACCTAGGCATCTTGGCAACACCAAGGGAAATACATGGACTGATAGACTTTAGACTTCATCAAGCTGGATGAAGTCAAAATAATATCAGAATAACATCTACTTGCAAAGCAACATAATAATTTGGAATTAATTTGGCAGGATTGGCTACATACTATCAGGTGAGTTAAACAAAATTTATCCCAGCTTTAGGATGGGGATAGCCAAGTGTCTGTGTGGGTTTTCTCTTCCACACCCCACCCCTCCCGCACACACACTTCCAATAAGGAAACTGATTTCCAAACAGGCAATATGAGTTGTGCGGGTTGGGAGGAGAGTATATTCAGGAGCTACCTCTTATCCTGGAGGCTGAGTGGAGAATTACAACCAAGTGCATTTAAAAACACCCTCCCCTAAACTGGTTGAAACCAGCTCTTAACTCACTTTAATCAATGTTCCTGTTGAATCATCTCTGCCATGAACATCTTGGGGCTTTCATTCATAATGTCTCTACTCTTAAGTCTGAGGAAGTGAATTTTATTCATGAAAGCTTGTGTTTAATGTTTGATTTTTAGTAGTCTGAATAAAGGCATCTACATTTGGATTGCTTAATCTATGGTGTGTTTAGGTCATAGCCAACATTCCCTCTAAGTGCTGCATCAGTGCTGCACAGCCAAGCCAGTGTTGATGTCCATTGGCTTTTGGTCATGGCCAAAAGCCCCATGGCAACCCAGTGGGGCCCCAACCCAACACTAGCAGAAGATTATAGGAAACGTTGGCCATCGCTCATTTTGCACATTGCATGAACCCTTGTTCGTCAATTATTACATTCTTATTACAACTACACTTTTGGATATGCAAAGAAGTCTTGATCTGTTTTTCTCTGCCTGTAACAATTTCAGCTTGAAGATCAATTCTAGTAAGATGGTGATGTCCCAATCCACTCTTGGTGTAGTTTATGAGGAACCAGTTCTGAAAGTATATGAAGACCCCCCTTTCTACAATGGAATAAGTTCATGTATCTTAGAAGTACCGTCTGCCACTGCATTGTCATTGAGGATGAAATGGCCTCACAGATCTCTAAACCCAGCACTGTCTTTGATCCTCTTTGTGGAATCAGAACTGAATCGATCTTTTCATTAAGCTGAGCATGTACAAAGCTGTTCTGTTCTTTCTGCTTCATAGATTGGAGATTTGAAGTGCAGTGGGAAAAATGTGAATTGATCCATTGTGATGTCATACCTGAGATGTTGGGTTTCTCCATGTTAATTTTCTTCAGCCAACCCCACAGGAGCGGAAGAAATCAGCCTTGTTTGCAGTCTCTTCATCATTTGAATAATCTCCTCTTGAAACCTGGTGCCTGGGACTGTTTTCCTCTTCCCTTCCCTTCTTAGCCTTAAAATAGCTCTGATCTGGCTGTCCAGATTTGCAGGAAGCATGGTTAGATCAGAGCTATTTTAAATTTTCATCTTCTCTCTCTGTTGACTCCTTGTTCTTTCTTTTTGGTCAGCTAGCTGCCCTAGCGCTAGGACAGCAAAGAAAGGAAGGAAGGATGGAAAGGAGGAAGGTACTGTAATATGAAAGCAAATCCAGGCACAATATGTGGGGAGGAGAGAATTCAAATGGCAGCCAGTTTCCTCACTGCCCTGCCTTTCTCACTGCTGCTGTAGCTGAATAGATGCAATTGCTGCAAATCCTTCCACATCAGCTTAAGTAATCACACCACCTGAACTGATGCAAATACATAAGAATATCAGAAGAGCCCTGTTGGATCAGGCCAAGGGCCCATCTCGTCCAGCTTCCTGTATCTCACAGTGGCCCCACCAGATGCCTCTGGGAGCAGACAAGACAACTAGATACCTGTCTCCTAATACTCCTTCCCTGCATCTGGCATTTTGAGCTTGGAAATTATACATCCCCATCATGGTTTGTAACTTGTGATGGACTTTTCCTCCAGGAATCTGTCCAATCCCCTTTTAAAGGCTTCTAAGCATTTACAATTCCAAAAGAAGTACAATGGAAAATAAGACAGGGTCTTATATTAATTTTTGCTCCAAAAATGCAGTAGGGCGTATCAGGGGATGTTTTATTTTTTTCCATGTACAACAACCTACATGTATTCAAATACAGTCATGTTATCTTCTGGTTGCTCCATAATGCTGTACTATGGTGGAGGGTGGGGTTTCACTTAACTAGGGCTTATTTTTGGAGTAGGGCTTATATTACGAGCATCCTGAAAAATCATACTAGGGCTTATTTTCAGGTTAGGTCTTATTTTAGGGGAACCAGGGTAGAAGCCCCTGCAGTGAACAAAAAAAAAAAAGAGTGCAGATTGGGGGAGGGGAAATGCCAGGCTGATTTACATTGACTTTATGTAGTCAATGGAAAATGTGAATCAGATCATC